TATTGTGTTGAGCAAAGGGTAACTCAGATATGCTAGCTAAAGCATGATACTTAGGTGAGCTGTGGGGAAAAAGAGTAATCTGTAATTTACACATTGGCTTTCAGGGTAATCTAGCCCTCAAATTTTGGAATTTATTTAGAACTTTTAGCCCACTCACTTCTATAGAATGATCTGAGACAGCAAATTTTGGTATAGGAATCCAAAAAAAATATTATATCTGGGAACAGTAGATTCAGGTTCTGAGAGTTATTTAGTAGACAGTTAAAATAAATCATTTTGTAAAAGATTTTTCCCTTTGAATGCCTGAAGAGAGGATTAAAAAACTGTTATTGTAACCATTTTTTTTTTAAATATCACTTTTTAGTATCATCTTCTAAGTAAAACAAATCTAAATTCCTTTGAATTATTGTGTGGGAAGAAAATTAGCAAAAGAATTAGAGAACCATGATCAAAAATGAAATTCTACAAACCTTTATAACTGCATAATTAGCCATATTTAAATATGACTTTCTTAGCGATTTAAATTAATTTCCAGGATAAACCAAACACAGTCAGTATTATAAGAGCAAAGGTCCAGGTTATGAATGCCTTGTGTTATGTGCCGTTGTCAACTTTTAAAATTCCAGGTTTGGATTTCAGTATTCATTTGGTTACAGACTGACAGAACTCAAATGATCAGGTTTTTGTTTTTTTAAAGAAAAAATAATTAAGAAGCATATCACTGTTGTAGGAGCTGTTGAACTGTTCTGGATCTGGCTCAAAAGGTGAACTTTTCAGGAAATCAGGCCGCTCATATTAGGAAGAAAATCCGCAAAAAAACATTGCAAACACCACACTATTGGTTTTCAGTCTGTTGCAGAAAGAAAATGCCATGTTCTGGTTGAGAAGATTAGAAAAGGTCCTAGCGCTGCGTGCTGATGGATGACGGTTCCACCCAGGAGGCAGAACACAGCCTGGCCTTCTTCCAGGATCACTGTTCAAGCACAAATATCTTTCACAACTCAGTTTGGTTGGGACTTACCACAGCTTTGCTTTGGAACTTTCCAGTAGTGCCCAAAATAATTTAACCTGAGACACACTGGCCGACCACCACCACCACTAACTCTGGCAAGGACCATGGGGAAACAGACTGACCACCCAGAAGAGTGTGTGTGCAATAACAGAACAAATAAATGAAAGGGGCAGTGCGCAAACAGAGAGAGGGGTCAGCGGGGCGAAAAGGACAGGGTACTCCGAGCCTTTAGGAAATGGGATCTGGCAACTAGGCACAGCACCTTCTTGACGGGTGACCAGGCCGTTACCTATGAAGTACTTTTGCCAAAAAATGCAACAGGAAGTAGATGAATCTCCATAGTTAGTCACTCTTTCACAAGACAAAGAAATATGTTAAATAACACCATAGAGATAACACCATCACAGAAGAGAATACAGGAGCCTCTAGAGGACTACCCGGTTCCGTGAATAACTGGCATTTGAAAAAACTTCAGGGAGAAAAAAAAAAAAACAAGTTCCCAAAATAAAAGGCATTGACCTTATTTGAATTCTTCAGCAGGAGAAAGAAGGAGGGAGAAAAGGGGAAGTAGAGAAAAGAACTTAGGAGAGAGGAGAGACAGACAATATAAATTTTTGTTGTTTCAAATTGCCTTAAGCCATCAAATTTTGGGGTGATCTGTCACCACCCTTTAATATATAACCTATACAGAATCTTCTTTTGAAAAATACAGGACTGGAGAGTAAGGATGAACAGAAAGTACAGTCTCTGAAATTCAGACAGATTTGAGGTTAAAGTCTAGACCCACCACTGGTTATATTTAGAAACTGAGTCTTTGAGGGCTTAGACGTTTTAATTTGAAAAAAAAAAAAAAAAAAGAAGGGTGGCTAATGTATAGGACTGTTGTAAGAAATTAATGAGACAATCCATGTATAAGTGTTTAGCACATTGACTTGCACAGAATAAACAGAAAGCCGGCCAGCAGCTATTGTTTATATAATCATTATTAGCAGCACTCGTGCTAAAATAGCCTCTTCCTCCACACATCGTCTCCTCAAAAAGATCTCCCGAAAGAGGCTGCATGCACAGCTCATGCTGGAAGGCAGATGGGCGGCTGCTCCACAGTGCGAGGAGGGGCACTTCTCACACATATTTGCATTTAGCATCTGTTTTGATCTTTTGGGGGCCTGACTGCACGAACGGTCACCTATCCCCGTGTGGGCAAACACAGTTGGGCTAGAGCCTGAGCCAAGGAGTGCACACAGGAAAGCAGAGCCTGATGGAGCCCTGGCCTGCTGGCACACGGGCCCTGCAAAATTTTACTAAATGGGTCATCCACGTGGAATTCAAATTTAAGGATTTTTTTTCCTCTCCTCAGTCCAACAGTACAAAAAGAAATTGATTCTGAACTGGCAGCCTTTCTTTCATTTGTCATTATGTTTTACACACAAGGAAATTTTAATGTCTAAAGATGGGAGGTGATGATAAGAATAGAGTTACACGTGTTTTTTTGGCAGCCCAGTCACCGGCACTTCAGTTCACTTCTGACAGTTCTCAGAATCTAAAGACCATAAGTACTAAACTGTCATCTGCCTCGCCATGAGAGATCTCACTTTGGCAGTATTTCAGAAGTAAAACTGTCCGCTTTCTTATGCATACTTTCGCCACCATAATATTTCTCTAAGCTGCATAAAATCCTATACTCTCAAGAGACGGATACAAAAGGGTTTGTGCTCAATACTGTTCTGAAAGGAAAATCGCACTGTTTCTGAACCTGGAAGCACAAAAAAAAATCAGTCATTTGCTAAAATCTAGGATTAGACAAAATGGGTGATAGTTTCCTTCAGGAGTTTAAGCTTGGTGATTACAAACGGCACTTGAATCTGATGATTTCCAAACTACTTAATGGTTAAAAACTAATGGTCCTGTTAAGAGGTGGAAGATGATCCTATTATGTAACAGTTGGCTCTCTTCAGCAACGTAGCTCACTTCCAGTGCAGTGAGTCTGACGTGGGAATTGGAAGGAGGATGCTCAGAGGCAGGGAACGGGAGATCTAAATGGACCAGCATGCTATTGGAGAACAACAGTGAGACTGCACTGAAATCCCTACATCTGCCACCGCTGCCAAGTGACCCTCTAAGAGTCACTCCCCTTCTTCGTGTCTCAATCTCTGTCATATCAAAAATAAAAGACTGTTTAGCACATTGGCTAAGCAGGACTGGAGTGCCTGCTGGTGACTTGCTGGAGCTGAGCACACTGGCTCCAAGCCGCTCTACCTCTCATGTGCCTTTGGGTCAACAACATAGCCGCCCAGCCTTACATTTCTCATTGGCATACTAGGGATAATAATAGTATCTACATGAATGACTGCATTGAGAATCCAATCCTAAAATGCATCCAGAAGATGTGTCCTGTAATAAACCCTCAACCTGAGTTATCTTTGTTTTCATGATTATTGTTCACATTCCCTCAAACTATCCACAAACAACAAACACATTCTGGTGAGGAAGCAGCCCTTGGGATTAAAATGTGGTTTGCTGACAAGAGAGATTATGGTTTCTGGGAGGTGAATTTGGCTTTGAACAGCCACCACTCTTGTCAGAGCCTAGAAGAATGCCTGAGCTCATGGAAGACTTCTGGTGTGTGTGTGTTAAGCTGGTCACCAAGTGAATAAATGAACGAGCAGGCAGTGCATGGAGATATCCTGAGAACTACAGAGTGCCTGCCTTGAGGTTCTCTGCCAGCCAGAAGCTACTCACTCTCAAGCACTTCCAAGGATACACAGTGAGGCATGCCTATAACCACAGGCTGGCTAGTTGATGATACCCCACACTTCCTATGACAGCACACGAGGCTGCTGCGATGAGCTGACTCTAAGGACTCAAAGATGAGCTGACTCTAAGGACTCCAGCTCCGAACACGGACCTCAAGAACGCAAGCCACTTACAGGCTCTCAAGGAGCCTCACAGGGAGCAAACTGCTTAGCAGAGTAAGTGAGCAGCTCAGAGCTGCAGAGCAAGACCAGGAGACTTGACAGCTCCACCCAGCAGCATCTGAATGGTTGCTTTAAGGTTCCTTTCCTCACCTCCTGCATCTGCTCGGACAAGAGGAGAATGGATCCCTTCCATCCAGCCCAACCCAGAGGCTGCCTGTCATTTCCTGGCGTTCTCCAGACGCAGCCATGCTGGTGCCGTGTGTCTAACGATCCTCTTCTTGGCACTACCTGCACTATCATTAACCTAATCCTCATTTTTAAGTCAACTCACTCAAGAAAAGATTAAATGAAGGTGTTTATTAATGAAATCGAAACCTCCGTGTTAAATGAGAAATTGGTACTGCTTGTTTTAAATATGAAGTAACCAGAAAAATAAACACTTGGAAACAAAATAGTGTAATTACAGTGCAGCTAGCCAGGACCGCTTTCCTCAGCTTGGCTGCCTTGCTCACTCATTCTTTCTACTTTAGGCATTTTGAAAAACTATCAGAAAATGGAAGAAGAAGAAGAAGAAGAAAAGTTTCTCCCTTTGTGAATCTGTATTTTCAGCTATATCCACGTACCACCTCAAATCCCTGCAAAACAACCCTACCCCTACTCTGATGTCCATACACCCTGCCCCCATTCCCTAAAGCACCAGATCATGGAGGTTGCATGCTCCTGGATGTTATTAAAATATACTTTTCCTCAGTTCTGAGATTCTCTGAAAAACTATCTACAATCAAGATGCATCTTACCATTGCTGGGATTTTATTAGTCACTTTTATTAGTGCTTTAACAGTATCTTTTTCTTTCATCTGGGAAGCCGTTATTAGATTGATGACACATCTCATAATGAGAGTGACTTGGGGTCCAGAAAATACAGCACGCTGCAACTGGGCCAGTATAAATGAGCCTGCTGTTTGGACGCCAAGACAACACAACAACCTTGTGTTCTCCCCATTGTGTTCATCTGATAAAGACATTACAATAGCCAGAAATTATGATCTATCACCCTCCACTGGAACACTCACACATTCTTGGCCTTGAATGCTTCAGCAAAATGCTGCACGCTACGGAGCTGAGCGAGGTCCAGGGTCATTGCTTCTACCTTGGCTTTGTGCTGGAATGAGAGAAAATAAAAAGAAATGATAAATAACAGCAAGTTTAGTCCATGGTATCGAGTTACAGTAAATGTGTTATGGAACATGTCGGAATTCCCCTGTTTAATATTAGACGCCCAGAGAGAATATAAATCATCGGAATGAATGGAAGAACGGGGCTTTTACTGCCAAGTTCGGGGAGCATGTGAGGCTAGGACTCCACTCAGCCCACAGGGTGGGGGTTGGGCTGCATTTGGCCCAGCACACAGAAGAGCCTCTGAAGGGTCTTCAGGCTAACATTATCTCCTCTCCATCTGTGCCCTCAAAAAGAGTAACGACAGGGGAACGGCAAGCTTAAAACCTGGCTCATAGAAGGACGCTGCAGACAACCTTTTAATGTTAAAAAACTATCATCCATGTTCAAGTGTTTCTACTGAACCCGCATCAAATATTAGGTAAAATTCATTTGCAGAAAATATAAAAGCAGCCAAGACTCTTATACCAAAGGACTCTGGCTGACCTAGATCCTAATGAGACAATTGGCTGAGTCAATCACAAAACTCTGTAGGTAGATAGGTGGAGCACTTGACATGAATACATCTAATAATGACCCTAGGCTTGGGATGTACAGCCTCACAACCCTCACAGCAGCTGAAGGACAGGAAAGAGGTTATCAAAACCATTTAGTAATCTGGCATCATAAGTGAGATCCCAGTGCTGACAAGGAGAAAAAGCAAGGACTAGCTCCAAAGGCGAGGGTCCCTCCTAGAGAGCTTGAGACTTGAAGCCGCCATGTTCACAGGGCAAGACCCTCCTGGCACAATTCTGAAAAAGATGGCTCTCGGGATTTACCCTTCCAATTTGTCTTCCATTTACAGGACACTCCCAATCTTTATCAGACGGATATTAGAGAGCAGGACTAAATGCTGTCACCACTTAGACCTGAGTTCTTCTCCAAAGAACACTGACATCAGGGCTACCTGCCTATTAAGGTAAGAAAAGTCCCATGAGATAAACAGGAATTCCAGTCTAGACTGTGATATTCAAACACAACTAGGTATATTTTATGGTATTTCCAGTGCCACCTTCAGAGGGATGCAAATGGCACTGCTGAGACTATCCTCCTGCTCCACTGGCTCACTTAGGGATGACCACAGCCTGTGCTGAGAGGATGAGCATGTCTACAGCCCGTTCATCCTAGCTGCTGAGGGCATGGGCTAGAACCCAAGATCCATGCTTGTAACAATAGATATCAGGAAATGGCAGCTGAGAAGCACATTGACCTGGGGCTGTTGGAGCCTTAATTTCCTTACTTACAAAAATAAAAAGCAATGTATATACTCACTAAGGTGTAAGGTAAAGTATTGCACAATCCAGTTTAATCAGTTTAACTTGAAAGAGAGGTCCATGACTTGGGCAGGCCTCCAGTACAACATGGTGGACAGAATGATGCTAGTGCCACGTAAGGGTCCTCCCTGCAGCCCGCATCAGAGCAGATCACTGATGGTTACATCCTGCAGGATCTGGGTTACGTCTCCTAACAGAGCTCATTTGTTGTAAAAGAGGATGCGAAGTGATGAAACAATTCTTCAAACACATTATCGGTGGCAAAAGCAAGATTGGCCAAGGTAGACTTAAACTTCTGCTTTTAGGAGAACACAAAGGCAGATGCTCAAAAGTACAAATTTTGGGAGGAGGAGGAAAAGTATCAAGGGTGTTCAGGAAAGGTGGAAAGGGCCAACACAGGGATTTTGTTAGTCTCCTAAAGTCAGGGACAATCAGAGCAGAGGATCCAGTGTAAGTCAGGTGAAGCTGCGCCCTGCATTGGATAAAGAAGGACACTGACAAAGACCTGTGAACCTGAGTGAGGGCACATGCTGCATAAACAGTCCTGTTCTCCAGAGAAGGAGCAAAACCCCAGCTATTCTAAGGATGGCTGAGAATCTCCTTGGAGTGTAAAATTGGTCAATAGCTAATTTACTCCCCAAGAAATTCTTATGCTTTATAAACATCTAAATACTCAAATATACATTCAGGGTTAACAAACATAGTGGCCTATAACCCTCATCTCCCCACCTCTGGCCTCCACATCATTTCACTCCTAATGGAATACCAAAAACCACACAAAGAATTGTACAAAAATTGAAATGTATCACAAGCAGAAATATTCACTATTTGAAGGGGAGGGGGAAACAGGGGTTGTTCTTCCCAGCCAAGCCTACTGTGGAATTGCCAAGGGATATGCAGGTCACAAGTAGTAAAAACGCATGTGTGCATTTCCTCCATAAAATACGAATAGTCCCAGAAGGAGACACCAAAAGCAATACCCAACAAAAACGACACCGTGGTCACATGGCTCATCCAGTCTTCTACATACATAAGTTACAACTGATGAGTTGTCTCTTGGTCCACTCCCTGCACTCCATAAAAAACTCGGAGCTGCCACTAGCAATAAGGGCAAAAATCAGAACATACATATCCAGGGGGAGCAAGGGGTCATGAGCCATCAAGTAGTTCACCAGACTAATCCACAGGCAGAGGGTTACTAGGCTCCTGGGAGAGTGATTCAAGTCCACACACTATTAGTCAGGCAATTCCCTTGCCCTAGGAATCAGGTTCCTGTTTCTGTTCCTAACCCTCAAAAACTACAGAAAAACTTACATGTGATTATAGGAACTCCAGGGTAGGAAGAATGTAGCTTTTAGAATTAGGTGTATCTATGTGTTTATGTGTGTTGGAGGAAGGGTCAGCTCTCAGATTGTTAGGACAGAGATCCATGTCATCAATGTGAGCTTTCTTGCCAAGTCCAGCAGTGAATCTGCAAGTAACCACAATTCACTGTCAGTGTTTAACCCATGAATTTTCTGTTGTTGACATTTATTTGGAACTAGTTTCCCTGAATGGCAACATGTTACACATATACAGTACATTATCCAAATTTGAAAATTAGCACTGGTGCAGTATTATTTAGTAAACAACGGGCATTACTTGGATTTCATTAGCTTGAGGGTGACGTCCTTTGTTTGGTATAATTATGTTATGCTAGGACAAATGATCCTGTGTATATATTTATATAACTACCATCACATTCAAGGGACAGAAGGAAGTGTGCCATTAAAACAAGGGATCCATAACTTTTATTCATAGATGATAGGGGGTCAGCCATGTGGTTTAGTGTATTAAGCTACTTCCTGCTATACCAGCATCCTATATGGACAGCAGGTTATGTGTTGGCTGCCTCTTTTTGAACCAGCTAATGTTCCTGGAAAAGCAACAGAAGATGGCTCAAGTACTCAGGTCTCTGTTGCCACATGGGAAACAAGGATAAAATTCTTGGCTCCTGGCTTCAACTTGGCCCAGTCCTGGACATTGTGCCCATTTGGTGAGTCAATGAGTAGATGGAAGTTCTCTCTGTATCTCTCCCTTTTACTCTGTAAATCTTTTTTTTTTTTTAATAAAATGGAATACTAGAATTAGGATATATGATATGGAATATAGGAAGTTCAGACTTTGGCCAGAGGTAGGTCTCATGGTTGGTAATATAAATGAATAGAATTCCTGCTACAGATTCTTAGGCTAACAAGATGTAGTCAAGCTTTCTTAGCATGGTTCACAATGTCTTCTACATCAGTCAGGATGGGCTTGCATAAGGAACTGCGCCCAAAAACCTATGTTCTCATACAAATCATGACAATCACATTTCATGTCCTTCCCAGGTCAGTGGTCCATGCTCTTAGTAGTTATCCGAGGACTCCAGCAGATGCTCCTTCTATCATCTTTAACATTGCCAACCTCCAGAGCACAGGGTAGGAAATACAGTAAACTGAGATTTCAAGAGTTTCAATCAGAAGTAACAGATGCCACTTTTTGCACATATTACACTGGCATACAAAGTTACATGGACTAGAATCAAGTAGACTTAACCCTACATGTGAACAACATATAGTGTGGGACAGTAACCAGTACATGTGAGACTAAATAATGAGGAACAGTAACAAGCAACACACAGCCCATGAGTTGGCCTCTGTTTACTTCACTAGACCTCAGTTCACTTCCTATCTTATAGTGACTCTTCTATTAGAAAAGCAGGAAAAGAGAAAAATGAAAACTTACCTAAAACTATTCAAAATACTGTTCGCTGTTCTTCCTCTCCTATGGTGTTTCCCTCCTTCCCTTCCTTCCTAACCATCTATCCATTATCCTCCTCATCCATTCTCCCATCCAGACACCTATTCCTTCTATCTACCAATCCACCTATCCACCCATCAATGATCCCAAAGAAAGAGGAAGGTGCATTCAGGTACCAAACTCAGCAAATGTCTGAACTCAAACTATGCTGATTAACGCTATGGACTCAAGGTAGCTGTCTGGGACTGAATTCATTCTAGCACCTGAACAGCTAGTGACTTCTCCTTTCTGAGCACTCAGTTTTCCCTTTTGTAAAATGGGAGTAATGATCATACTTGCCTTATTGGAAAAGAGTTCATACATAGAAAGCACTTGTAAAAACGTCTGACCATTGACAAGGAGTCTGTCACTCTACATTGTAACTGGCTGTTTACTATCATCTTACCATTCTCACTAATATCATCAGGATTGACACCAATCAGTCTCACTCTTCACAGACAGGACTGAACCCTGGCCACCTGTGGCATTGTCTCACCTCATCCTCTATTCCTGCCTGCAGGCAGTGTGGGACAAGGAGTGTTTGTCTCATAAGGGACAAAACTGAACCCTAAAAATCTCTAGTACAACTTCATCCAGGTAAGTGGCAGAGCCACAATTCATACTATGACCCTAATCAGTACTCTGTATTTCAAAGCCCAGTACAGTCCACCTGTCCTCTCGCCCTCCCCATGGCCTCCCACACCTTCACGGCAGGTGAGACCAACCCGATAGGCAAACTACCAGATCTACGATTGTCTCCTACAGAGGGCAGCAGGCTGTAGCGCCCCTGGGCACCAACAAGGAAGAGGGTATTTACTACACAAGGTCATTCACTCATTCACACCGCCTCCAG